CGATATGCAATAAAAGCTTCTCTCAGTCATCGAATTTGAATGTGCATAGGAGGACGCATACCGGTGAAAAGCCATATAGTTGCACGATATGCAATCAAAGCTTCTCTCACTTAACGAATTTGAATGCACATAGAAGGACGCATACCGGTGAAAAGCCGTACATTTGCACAATATGCAATCATAGTTTCTCTCGATTTACGAATTTGAAAAGACATATTAGGATTCATACCGGTGAATGAAAAGCCGTACAGTTGCCTGATATGTTGCTTAAGTCATTTTAAAATCACACGTTGGGAAAGTTCATGCTAAAAAAGAAAACATTAACTGTTTTGTTTTTTAGCATGAACTTTCTCCGCGTGTTCGCGCATTTTAAACTTTCCGGTATTGCAAATTGTTTATTTTTTCCTTATCTGTATGTTGTTATTCACTTTATATGTGATATGTAACACTTTTTTGTTATTCATTTACTATTTCCCTTTATTTCATTTAAATGAATAAAATTGTTGGTATCGTTTATTTGCTCGCATATTTATTGGATAGACAATCATTGTAGTATTAATTATGGGATGAATCAGTTGTAAAATGTTGATGAACCAATCTCTAATTTTTACAATGTACAAGTACCTTAATCGCCGTCAGCAGAAATTACTTTATAAAATGTTTTCTGGATGCAAGCTTTGTGCTTCCTGAAAAATGAAAGGATACTTCGGAGAAAGCTTCCTTTTTTTGAAAATATGAGTCCCTAGACAGAAGTACCCAAAATAGCAATTCAGATAGATGCAAAAGTTATACTAATTTGTCTTAATAATCGATCCTTATCAGTTAAAAATAGTGCAGCTTCTCTGATAATCCCAAAAACAGACAAAATAATAACATATACCTAAAAATCATAATCAATGCTTATATAAAAGAGGATTTCTCCTCTTTGTAGTATTATAAAAGAAATGTGATAAAATTACGATCAAACAACAAAAATAAAAGAGAATGAGCTAAAACTGGAACAAATAGTGAAACAGATATTATAAAAGATGTTAAATAAGAAGTTCAAATAAAAATATAACCTAATCTAAAGTAATAGCAACAGATTGTATACATTTTGAACTGTTACTATAAAATCAATAGCTTCCTGCTATTTCCGGTACTTTAGAATCTACCCCCAGAAATATAAGAAACCTATGAAGGATCGTGCATTAAACGTTCAACGAATCGTGATACTGTACGATTATGTTCCTATAAAGAGCACAACTGTAACATGAATGGTATTGATGATACTATCCGTGACTATCAAGAACGAATCTGGAAAGGGCTTGTGAAGAGACCGCCTGATTTGGCAAACCTTGTGGAAAAGACCATGCAAATTTTCATGAATGAATAAATTTTCATACTAATCTATATGTCAGATATAAAATGAATAATATACAGGTAAGGAATAACAATAACAGTAAGAAGAACTAAAAATTGTGAATGAATAATTAAAATTGCAAGAAGTCAATTAACGAAATACCGAAGCAATTTGCAGTACCGGAAATAGCAGTGAGTATTTCTGTTTAAAATTCGCCTAGCTGTTTCTTTCTTCCATATGAACTTTCTTTGTGTGTGATTTCAAAAGGAATTGATTTAGGAAACTTTGGTATTATTAAATATTCAATATTATTCAGTATTCAATATTATTAAAGTTTATTATTGAATTATATTTTATCGCTATATTTATAGGTATATTTATTACCATGCTATTTAATCAATATACATTTGTAATGATTTGAAATGAAAATAATTTAAATCAAAAACAAACAAACAAAGAAACAAACAATAGTTTTATTGTTAACAAACTTATATGCATACACTCGAAACTGTCAACAACAACAACAAAAAAAATAAAAGATCTAGAAATCGATAATTGCCAGAATGTTAAAATTTAAATGATACATTTTATTTTAGTTATTTTACTGAATTCATTATCTCTTTTTTGATTGACTGTCTCGAAGCTATAAAATTATCTCTACATGACTATCATCATTTTTTCCATTTTCTAAAATTTAATAAAATTTGTAAGATATGAAATTTAGATGTCCGTATATAATTAAGGCTAAATTTTAACAAATGAATTTTAGTAAAAGATGGAAAATTATTATAATAATTAAATTCCGTTATAATACACAAAATGTTAGTGAAAATATTGCTCGATAAAGCTGGCAACAATATAGCATTGAATAGTATCCCATAAAAAATGAATTATATAATATTCCTAAATAAAAAACACACTAACAATTTTAAAGGATATATTCAGTTTTAAAAAACGTCTAAAAATTAGTTAATGATTTTATTCCTAAAAAATATTGAATATTTTTTAGGAATTAATTTTCGTTTATATAATCTCTGAAGATTTACCAACGAATGAAAAAGAATTTACAATTCAAACAAACTAAGATTTGATAAGAATATTTTGTGGGAAATTAGATGTTCAGGAAAAAAAACTTTTTCAGGAAGTATTAATCCGGAAAATAAAGTATTGGAAAATATGGCATGCCAAAGAAAATTATTACCAACTGTGATTAATATTTTTCAGCAATAAAATCTTTTCTTGCCTTAAAACTGCTATCCGATCGATTTTTTACATTCTAAATGTGATAAAATTGCGTAAGTTTAAAAATTTACCAATAGCAAATTTGAATAACTACCGATAGTAAAATTAACCGATAGCAAATTTGAATAACTATCGATAGTAAAATTAACCGATAGCAAATTTAAAATTGGAAATTTCAAAAGTTCACAATTAATTAAAATTGAAAGATTGATATTACATAGAACGTAAACGATACCATCCGTGTTATTTGAATGAAAATTAAGCAATTAAATTTGATGTTGAAATAAGAAGATTTAAAACCTTTTCTAAAGATGATGCCAATTCGATTGGTGATTCACAAAAGAAGATGATCAAAATTAATATCGAAGCTAGCAATATTGATCCTAATGTATAGCACTGAAATTTCTAAATTTTAATAACCCCATGATCGCTTATTTTGATATTAAATTTTGATTAACTTCCAACAAGGTAAATAATTAGAATTGTTAAATTTATTAATGATTTTAATCGTTCTTATCAAAGAATGTTATTGAGTTTAATCAATAAAATTAATTAGTCAATAAATTAATAAAATAAAGTCAATAAAATAAAATTAATCGAATATTGTCATTTTGAATTTTTTTCGAACTTTTCAAAACTAAAATAATTCGCTGAAATTTACACTATCAGAAGATTAAGTGATGCGATCCATATGATCAGAATCATATCAATCATGTTAAGATTAACAATGCGATCATTAAATGCAATTAATCACATGATAAATCGTATCAAACATATGCGATCAATCATATCAATTGCATTTGTAAATTAATAAATGAAATTCTTAATTTCGATTAAAACCTTTAAAAAAAAGAGAACAAACCGAAGCAGCAATAAGTACTTCAGAATATTTGAAAGGACCACATAGTGTTTCCGGATCTTCTTGTTTTACAATTACAATAATGAGCATTATTAATGTCACAAATGAAAGAGTAATTGAAATCCCATGAAGTATAATTGTCTAAAATATCAATTCTTTACTTTGAGGATATGATAAAGGTAAAGATCGGTTGTGAATCCAAAATCGGTAAATTAAGGTAAAGATTAGTTGTGAATTCGAAATCGGTAAATTAAGCTAAAGGTTAGTTGTGAATTCGAAATCGGTAAATTAAGCTAAAGGTTAGTCATGAATCGAATAATGAGAAGAAAAAAGAAGGGAGAGAGAGAAAGAAATTTTAGGATAAAAGGCTTAGTTGAATGATATCAGTAAAAACAAGAAGGGATGCAATTTTCATTGTAATTAACCGATAAGAATTCTAATTTCGTTAAATAACAAAAAATAGAAGAATATTTCCGGATGAAATGTGTAGAATACTAAATATTACTGTAACTTTTCCGGAAATTTGAAATACATTTTACATTTTTTCTACAATATTTTATATAAAATAGTAAAATTTATTGAAAAACAAAAGTAAAAAGATCAGATCATCATTTTGTAAACATACAAAAATTGGTGCAATTCGAATACGTAAATATTTGAATGTTTGACAAATCAAATTGATCAATTGAATGATAAGCGTAAGAAACATAAATGAAAATGCAACAATTAATTTTATATTACTTATCCATGTATAACGTGAAATGATAAGCGTTACTGCTACAAAAGCCAACAACTATAATAAATTGATGAAAATTAACGATAATATTAATCGATCAAATATTAAAATAATTAAGCCTAAAAGTTTCGTTAACTTTTCTTTTTTGCTAATTCAAACTTTTATGGATTAAGGTTTGAAAATAGGATGGATTATCGTTTAGCCTAAGCTTAATTGTAATCTTCATTCTAAAATAAACCGTTGAAAGAAGAGTAATTGAATAATACAGCTCACGTGAACACACCATACCGCTAGCAATAAGCTAGCAAAAATAGTTTTAAAATTGAAAAAATTTGAATTTATATTTATATTTATATGACTATTAATAATTGTTAAAATTTATATATAATCTTTTGTATTTCAAATTTCGCATAATTATCACATTGCTTGCATAAGAGAAGTTGAGAGAAATAATTAATTTCAGTTCACTGAATTACATAATGGTATTTTCATAATGGAATTTCATAATGATATTTTAAATTGTGAGAAAAGAAAATAATCTTTCACATGTTATGATCCTAATTGTTTTGTTAAAGCAGAATTTCTTCGGATATTATTCCTTAATTAGTTTTATCATTATGATAAGATAAGGAGAGCCTCTGACATCATTAATTACTGTATATATATAATCTCCTTTTTTTATCTTGTTGTAGATTTATAACTGCTATATTATAGTACAAAAGAAAGGTGGATCGATTCCTTTTAATTATTCAACTGTTTCACTATCCTTTTAGACCTCTAACCCATAGAATAAATTAATTTAATTTAAGTCTGAAGCTTTTTTGATCACGAAAAAATTTCATCTCACTTTTTATTAAAACATAATTTTACAAGTTTCCTAACAGTTCCTTACTTAGGTACGTCCATCGCCCTTTTTGTATATCACAGATCGAATTCATAGCATTATTTTAATAATCTACCATACTAATCCAATTATCTACCATACTAATCCAATCCTTTCGAGGTGCTTAATTGCAACAAATAAAGAGACAAAAACGGTTGCTAAATAAAAAAATCTATCCATAAAAGAACTGATATAATTCGAAAAAAAATTTATGGACATGAGAATTTCATATTAACTTTTTAAAACTTCATACTGTAAAGTGATTCGTAACATTTGCCATCCTAAATTAGATGATTTAATAATTTTTACAAACTTCTAAAAGCAAATCTTTTGTTGTGGAAATGAATGACAGGTTTTTCTGTAAAAATTTAGAACAATAAAATTTTAATATTCATATCAATTTTCTGTCAGTTCAAGTGCAGAGAACTGAAATAAATCAGTTTCCAAAAATTGCAACGGTGCTACTTTTTTATGATACTATTTATTCGTAATAACGTGAAATTCAGTATGGAATGAGTGAAACAGTGGCAGAAAAAATATTCGTTTGATATAAACACATGAAAAATTCAAATTTCCCGATCAGTATTCGTACTACTCGAACTTTAAGTCCAAGCCGCTTAAAATCAGTTCCTTTCTAGAAAGCTATTTCCATATAACATCCATAATAATAAATGTTTTAAACATATACTTTCATAGAAAAAGAAAGAGCATATCCAGTTAGCATTAGAAAATGCAATGAAGAATTTTTTAGCAAAATGTGCTTAAAATAGTTATCACAATCAACTTGAATCATGGATATCATAAATCAATAAAAATATAAATATCGTACAGTATGAGACTTTTCTTTTGAGATAATCAGTGAACGGTTCCATCATTATTGGATGTGATTTGAGTACCACCACTACTTCGAGCAGTTCGTTTCCTAGCCATTTCCATACGACGAGCTTCAGTTCTCGCTGCAATCCTTGCTTGACGCATTTTTTTATTCTCTGCTGCCGTTGTAGCTGAACGAACAATGCGTGAAACAACAGGCATAAATAACATCGAAGAGATCACCCCTACTCTAGAAACTGTGATTTGTCTCTTCGTGATAATAATATCATTATCCTTGTCATTCAATTACTCCCCACAATGACCATAAGGAGATAGTGCATAATTTCTACAAGATCAAGTGACAGACTTGATTAATTCTGCAATACTAAATCTTAAAATAACTTAACGTAACTAAATAATAGGATAATTTACCGCTATTTAACTAAAAATTTCAATAACATTCTCTGACAACTATAGACTGTTTCAATTCTAAAATTCGAAATGTGCTCAAAAAAGGGAAGAAAATTCGTTCAAGGAAATGAAAATTTCAGCAAGTTAAGTTTAAACTTACGTTCCACAGTTCTAACATATTCATCGCTATTCCATGAAATATTCCATTCTTCATCTCCCATTATTAGAGCAGAATCTGAAACTATATGACAGTGGGCAAGGAATATTACTTCATCAAACTTTAGAAGTTTGATATAAAAAATAAATGCAGATCTTTCAAGTACACTGCAACTTTTCTAAAGCTTTCAAATTCTCATTTTCCCATTATCATAAAAAAATTCAGTGCATTGCTATTATTCACACAAATGGTTTAAGAAATTAACAATGAACCTGAACTGAAATCGAAATCACCCCAGCCGCTTACAGTCGAACTATCACCCCAATCATCTGTCAATGTATTACTGCTACTCTTTGCAGCAAACATCCTATTCGTAATTTCATTATCACTTAATCGATCAGTTGCACTTGGCTTGAGTTTAATGCCCAACAAATAATCCAAATCATCTTCAGCTGTAAAAAACAGATCAATTTAAATATTTTCAACTTTCAGTCTATGAACTAAATTAAAACAATTTTTCATTTCACTTTTTAAATTATTTGACACTACTTAAACGATATGACTAAATAAGTCGTCGATTCTTACTTTTGTCCGATGGGTTAATTTGCATTTGTCTTAGAACGATCTAGCATATATTATATGCATTATACTGTGCTAATTATTACGACTGATGTCAATTTATATAATTTGTTTTTCATTTTTCTGAACCATTTCAAAAAAAGACCAGTAGGTTTCGTAACTGCATGCTGTAATTTCAATCCACCTCTTCTTGATGATTTCGCGGAAGCGGCAGTTGATGTTTTACCTTTAGCAGTTGTTACCTACAAAGAAAATGAAATACCAGAACTAAAAAAAATATCTCAATTAAAATCTTCAAATCAAAGTTTTTTTATTAAACTGAAGTACTACACTGTGAATCAGTATTTTCCATTTGCAATATGAAATAACTAGAAAGCACCATGAAGTGCGCTAGTGATAGAGTGACTGCATTTTTCCTGTCGTAGTGAGTGCTCTTAACCTAGCATAAAATTTGTTATACTCTTCATTGTTGTAAAACCCAAATATGTACTATACTTCCACAGCCGTACGCCAATCTGCAACAATGAATCTTTCGAAACTTATATAAACAGGTACTTCCTCTGTTGTTCATTTTTTCGTTCGGCTGACCCCTACATTTATTGGTATTGATAGTTAATAAAAGCTTAATAAATTCTACGGTTTCCTTACATAAATATTCGTATAAACTCATCGTTTCCGTAGTAGTATTAATAAGTGATGTCAGAAGCACTTTTGCTATCTACAAAATCACCTTTAAATCAGATCTTGCTATGAACTAATTTTTAAATGCAAAGCGCATGGTTACAATGTGGACAATAGCTACTCGTAAAACTTGTCCATGAACTTGATTTAAAACTGCTAAACTAAATACTTCTTTCTGTTCATTATCCCATCCTTCGTTCGTGCTTGTGGTACTTGTCGTTAATGCATCATTAGCATCTTCCCATTCTTCCTCAGTTTCTACACAAAACCTATCGTCCGTTTCACTCCAACCATCACTTGCAAGCTTCATTGATGGCATACTACAAACTGTTAATTCAGATGCCCTTGTAGTAGATGCTGGTTCACAAATGGATGTCTCCTGTTTATGTGTTGGCTCAACTTGATTTTTTACTGAGGGAGAGTACTTGTAGAATTTGTCTGAAAGTGACTTTAACGCCCAGCTTGCCCATTGCGGTATCTGAAATATATTGCTGCATGGTAGTGAGACAAAAATTGAACAATTTGCACTATTTAGATAAAGCGTCTCCACCATTTTACTCATCAGAAACAATAAAACAATAAGCGATATTGGGAAGAAGACCTTGTCACTGCTAAGCAAGCCACTTTTTCCACCAGCTTTTACTTGTGCTTCAAGTTCCGGTATCAGTTTTGGATTTTCACTAGCTTTTTCTAATTTTTCGATGAATCCATGTAGTGCCTTAAAACTTTGATCTCTAACCTGAAAATACATGGATTCTTCTTAAAAAAAAATCTACATCTAAATATATCAAAAACAACGAAAGGTTAATAAAATAAGGCTAAAAATGAGCGAATAATAATATATTTACTGATCACTAGGATTATTAAGACTCTTCAATAATCTTATGAAACGTCAAATACTTTTCATGATCGTAGTACCAACATCTGCATAGCGTTGCGGACTGTACATAATGAGTGCTTGGAAAGCCAAGCCAAAGCAATTTTGTGATTCTAATAATCATGGTAATACAGAAAACTTTAAAACTGATTTCTGCTAATACACGCAAATTTTAAAAACTGTAATAAAATGACCTGCTTTTCTCGATCACATGTCACCGGTGATAAGGCTGGTACTATACGATTTGCAACTGAGATTAATGAGTAGTATTGTTGAGTAGCACTAAGTGCCAGGATAGCCGCCACTCTAGCCGGAGGAAATGGATCTTTGAGTGCACGAGTGAAAGCACTGATTAGAATCTGCTGACGATGAGTAGGGTCAATATAACAGCTAATTTTACCGAGACAAATAGTTGCATTTGTTCGAATGCCAGGTTCATCGTCTACTCCTGAATATATTTCAAGTAATACTAAGATTTTTCAAAACACAGAGCTGTCTAGGATAAAAAAAGATCATTCTACAAAAAAGTTATTATCGAGATTACCGAAGAGATAATTCAGAATTTAAGGATTCTCTACGGACTAAGAGGGAAATGCAACGATTGCATGAATCGCCTACTGAGAAATTTTTGCTGGCGTAATATCAAAGAAACAAAAGCTCTACCCTGTAATCTTGCTAAATGCCGCATCAGATCAGTATTTAAATTTTGATTATTTAATTTATCAGCCAACGAAACCATTGCTTTCACCGTACTTTCACGAACAGCTGGACTTGTATCAGTAAAACCAGATGCAACATTTCTGAAAAAGAATCATCTTCATTACAAAAATGCTGAAACTATACTAATTTACAAAAAGAGGATATAAAACATAAACTAATTTGAAACAAGAAAAACGCAGTGGGATTTTCGTAAATGTTTTTTTTTTTCAACTTTAATACTTCAAGAAAAATTATATATGACTCAATACTAACATGTGAAACTTATCGAAAATGCTTAGTTATGGCAAAGAAAAATTTGAAAATAGGAGAAATTTGAGAATTCGCTAACAAAAACCAACCCATATATCCGTTCGTTAACAATTTGAGGCGTTAAATGAGGTGCAAATTCGTCGATTCGCTCTAATAATTTTACACGTGTTACACGATCCGGTGAACTAAATAATTTACAAAGGCAAGGCACAATACGGAGTTGATATTCGTCTTCATCCAACAAACGTCCCAAACGAAACAGTGGTATCAAAACATGTGATCCCGCATCACCATATTCGTAACTCTGACAATTTTATTCAAAAATCCAAGGAAGTTACAAAAAAAGATGAAAATTCTATTCCCTTCGGTGGGAACTTTTTCAATTTTAACTTATACTGCTAATTGAGCAAATAGAGTGCTATGTTGAAACACGGTAATGCATTTTTTCTTGTTTTAAAAAAAAAAAAACTACAAACTATTTTGAGATGTGAAACAAATATCGTCTGCAATCTCTTAGCAGTTCTGAATAATTAAATATAGAACATACGTGTATTAATTTTGGAAGAATTCTATATTTGGCAATGTTATCAGGAAACAAATCCAATTCGTTTTTTAATTCTGTGAAGAATACTTGCTTTTCATGAGCATCTTTTAATTGAAATTCATCCAAAAACAACAGAGTATCCACATATCGATTCTTGAAAAAGCCACCTGCTTGACGCAACTCTGAAACGCTGTATTATAATATATTAGGATCCGATCAATCATTAACGTTTTTAAGAGAAAAAAGTCAACCGGGGTGATGAAAGTATAAATATCGCAACAACAGCTGCAAAAGAAATAAGTCACCGATTTTTTCATTGTTAATAGAAGGGTCAGAAAAAATAGGGTACCTTGGACAAAAATAGAACATTAAATGAAAAATCATAAAACAATGCCTCTCAACAATTCCCCAGTATCTAGTTTTGCTGCTCGATTAGTAGCCATCTTTTTATAATGCTCATGTAGTTGTTGAGGAATTTTTTTCGGTGCTTCTGCTTTCGTTACTGATTCATTGAAACCGTTGAAAATTTCCCATGTAAGTAATGCGAATGAATTAAGGTCGGAACATGGATTACTAAAATAATAACACAGCTGATTTAAATATCTAATTATCAGGTAGACCAGCATATTAAATAAAATGAAATGCTAAATGAATCTCAAGAAGTAAAAGACTGTATTCCTGAACATAATTGGAAAAAAAGTGTACCTGAAACTGGCTGAGTTCTCGAAACCGCCAAGTTTCCAATCGCCACTTTCTGTGACGTAAACAGAACGTCGGATATTTTCGTGGCTTAATTCAGCTTCTTGATGTAAGAATTTTAAACAGCTCTGTAAGGTGGGAATAAATGATTTTATGCATGTTGGTATAGGGACAATACGTTAAGCTAGCAATATCGGTTTGGGCTACAGCATAATCAAACGAATGAAGCTGTGATACAGTTAACGGATTTTGAATTTCGTTGCTTACCCCAAATTCTTTCAAAACGCATTTCCAGAAATAATTGTAAAACCTAACATATCATTACTTAATTCCGAACTTCAGATTTATTGTACTGATGAAGGCTGATATGAATAAAACAAGGGTACTTATAATTCAATGTTTTGCACATGAATCCATAGCAGTAAGAAAAAAGATATACCATTAACTGAAATAGACCCCAGGAAACAACAAAATCCCTTTGCTTATCAGTTAGTTTAGTTTTCGTAATATAAATTTTTAGAGGAACGCAAGCTTCGGTTATCAAATAAAAGGTACCATTCATCTGAAACAGAAACTCAAATGATGATCTATATAATTTTAACATTATCATTGCTGATAGCTTCATTGTTTCATATAAAAATCATTTAGCAATATTTTAAAATCAACACACATAGAATGCTAAAGTGTAACTCTAAAGCTATTCCATTCTCATTAAATGAATCTTATACTGTAATTCTCATTAAATGAATCTTAAACTGTTTGGAAACACCATACAACTAATAACTTTTCAGAATGTTACAACCTCAGTGCTATCCAAATAAGCGAGAACATTTGGATGGCGAAGAGTTTTCAGTTTACGTGCTTGAGCTTTCAGCACTGATCCTGGACCACAGTCGGATAATGTTGCCCAGAAACAAGTAGCACGTTCGGAAGGTTCAGTCTGAAATATACTAAGTCAGCCTTTTGTGGTATTTGAAAATTAAATTCCTCGTTATTTTTATTTCAAACAATCACATCTTATTCAACAATTACTAAGTAACATTACTTTTTTAAAGCTTTCCCCGACGAATATGCCATCAAAAGTGTGGAAACTGCTAGCCGGTAGCTCATATGGAAATACACTTTTTGGATCGCGTGAGAAGAATGATGATAATACGGATGTCATATATTTTTCCTGAAAAAAAAGGCAAGTATAAAGGACTCTTATCAATAATGATCGTTTTTGACGCCGGCATGCAAACATTTATCAAAGTTTACTGATATACTGATTAATCATCTTAAGAGCAGACACTGAATGAGAAAACAACGATGAATCTTGATTGATTCCTCGGATTCTTTATGGCTTAGATCTTATATTATTCATTAAAATGATAACCACTGATAAATGATAGTTATTATAAAATTTTTGATGTAGATAGAGGACATATCTCATGCACAACACCTTGTCCTTACTGTATCTATGACGCAACTAATTCATATCATTGACAAACAAACAAACAAATGTTTTGGCAAAACGACCCCAAGCCCGATGAAAAAACTGCAAATTTGGCCTTATCATTCGCTGTTGGTCGTTGGTGTTGTTGATCGTTATTCTTCAGCCGCTCTCTCATTTGGTCTTTTTTACATTGTATTTCATCATTATTATCATTCTCCATTATTTCTTAATCATCATTACAGCTTTATCGAAATATGAGACATGAACAATGTCTTCTTAATTAATAAACTGTGCAATTAGTCCTGAGCTTCTCCTTTCTTAACTTTTAATTACTCTTGAGGTTTTGATTATTCATAAAAAAGGAAAAAACATCTGTACTGTATAAAAATATCTGTACTGTATAACATCTACACTGTTTAACGGATGTTGTGTTTGATTTGTTTGTTATATCTGATAACATAAGGATTTCGTATGAAATCCGCAGTAAAAAAATTCTTAGTTCTTGACCCTTCTTTTCCTTGTCCATCTATAATTGATATATATCCCGCTGTTGTATGATATATATGTGAACTTTGCTCTGAACTAATGAAATAATTTTTTTGATAGCTTTATTAGGAAATGTTTTTATGATTGGCTGACAGCTTCAAGTACTGATTGGCTGACAACAATAAATTGTTGACTGACAAAGTTTATTTTATTAACTAATGTAATATTTAAGTAAGGAATATGAAGATTGATGTGTTGTTCAGTTCAGCCAATTTTGCTCATCTTCAAAGAGAAAACTAAGATTTCAGAGATTCTCTTGGATTGAATTAAACTTATTCCGGTTTCTCAGCATTTGGCGGCGTTCGAACGGATAATACTTCGGATGCAAAACTACGTCCTTTAGCAGAATCAGGACGTTCGACAATAATAGTTACATTTCCTGATGATAATCCCTAAAAAACAAAAAAGTGATTTATCCTTTCATACTATTTCATTTTTTTATGTTATATTGTTTATTTACTTTTATAGCACAGCTTACTTATTGATTACCTGAACAATAATCTTCTTTGCAATCTCCTTATCATTAATGTTTATTCCATCAATTTGCAAAATTCGATCTCCAACCAACAAACATTCAGCACTTAACGATCCGTTCATCACATGTGTCACATAAACATGTCCTTCTTTACCGCTTTTCACTTGCTAAAAAATACCTTTTAAAAGTTGACAAATATAAAACCTGCAATCTTCACCTCCGCAGATCCATGCGTTACCCATTGCCCTTGCATTTTAAAGGAGCCACTTTTTGCTACACGTTGCAAATTAGCTAACTAAATTTATCAGTTCCTCAAACTGAATGATGAAACAACAAGTTAACTAGAAGATATTCAATGAATATCTATGAAATGGGAAGGTCATGCAGTTCGATATAATGGTAGGAATTCTAAAGACTGCTTTATTATACGTTTCATCATATATACTTGACTTTGCAGCTTAAATCCGGTTCAAACTATAGACCGAAACATTTTCTATATTCCTATTATAAGAAAAGAAAAGAAATTAAATTTCTTCTAAAATATTCCTAATCATTTTTGTATTTAATGACTTCTTTCACCACAATTGATAGATTAATCATGTAATAATATCATTCATTCATTGTTTCATCATTAATAATTATTAAGAAATTAATGTTAGCAAAAAAATGGGGAATGAAACGAACCAAACCAACTGGTATTCCCATTTTATGTTGTCTTGTCATTTTCACCTTCAAATACAGGAAACCATCGCGTTTCGTGATTTTCTTATCATCAACACATTGATCTTGCTTAATTTTTTCACCACGATCATTATCACGACTTACTATAATTCTAAACTTAACTTTTTTTAAATCAATGAACATTCATATCACCGTTAACAGTTTACTAGTTTTTTATTCCTTCCAATTTAAATTTATTTTGCCTATAAAAAACCTTAATAATATCATTTTAGTGTTGTTATTATTTCCATAGAAAGAATGGATTTAATTGATAAAACGATTGATTATTTTCGCTCTTTGTATTTTTATTATCATTGATACACTGATAACGTTAATTCTTCTTGATCTTCTCAAACTATTCGTTTATTTTCATTTCCTTTTTCTTTTCATATTTTAAAGATTAATTACAATTACTTTCATCCAATCAATCTTTTAGCTTATATTCCATTCCATTTTCTTTTTAAAAAGAAATAAATTTAAATTGCAATTCAAAATTTTTTGTATTACTTTGTAATGTGATGTTTTTGCCGAAGTCGATCGAATTTATTTCGATCAGTTACAGAACAATCATTAACTGCTATAATTTTATCGCCAACATTGATTTGATCCTCTAGTGCACCATTTCGTTGTACAAATGTCACAGTGAGCTAAAATAATAGTAGAACTTAGATCAATTAATGATGAAATTCTCAGACAGATAATCTAGTGATTACACTAAAAAGTTACGCCTTCCTAATTTGTTTCTGTCAGATCAACTACTACCGTTAACACTTATCACAAGTGCTTTCATTTAAACTTTTTTTTCTTACGGCCACTGATAAATGTCTGATAAGATAAAAAAAACCTTCTTTTACCTTCTTGTCAATTTCAATTTGCAAATTTTGTTATTAGCAGTTAACACATTCATTTTCATATTTATTTTTCATCAAAATTCTCTTTGTATCTGCTGATACACTTATCTAATTACCTGTACAACTTAAGACTAACATATATAACTTAGATCAATTCAATCTTCCTTAAATAGGCTATTAAATATCAAATAGATGTAAAATGATGTAAAACTTCGATTACATACGGTAATAGAAGAAAAAACCGAGAAGCAAAAAATGTAACAACCCCATTTTTGTTTTCAATCCTTTTCTCTCTCTCTCTCTCTCTCTCTTCCTCTCTCTCTATCATTCACCACCCTGTCTTGTGTTCCTATTTCATTTTTTCCCATTATGATTCATATGCTTTTCTCTTTCAATAAAATTTCATTCACCCATTTTAAACCAATTTTTTATAATTATTATATTGCTAAAATTTTAATTAATTAAAAGATTAATAGTTAACACTGAGGAAGTGTCACATTAGCATGTTATATTAGAATTGTATAGGAAAATTATGGAGGAAGAAAAACTTTACGTCTTTAGTGTACATTATACCAGGCAATTCACCAGCATCAATGTTGACATGAAGATGATGCAACTCTTCAGTATCATCAACCATCCTCATTCTATATACAATCTTTCTACAATGCTTACTAATTCATTATATTCATCATTTTTTATTTCATGCAAATATTTCCTATCTGATAATCTTTCATTGATATTCTTCCATCTATTATTGATCAAAAGATGTTTCCGATAATTTTTTGATAATTCTTCTGATGATTTCTACCTTTACGATAAGAAATTCCAAATACATTTTTCTCCAAATACGAATGATAGGTAATTATTGCAATTCATAATGTTATCTCTCTGTTTCACTTCTTTTCCTTTTATTTTCCTAAATTATATGAAAATTTTGAGCAAATAATGGTAAGTTATCTTTGCAATAATAACCTACTGTAAATGAAACAATCAAGAAAGCAGTTTAAAAGGTAATAATTTCTTGAAAATTTGATTCTAGAAAATTTGATTTTGCAGAGAAATCGAATCTTCGGAAGCGATAGTATTACCTGACCTTTGTATGGAGTGTTAAATGCAAAGTTTTATGAAAAATTTATATCTCTTCCAATGATAGTATTATGGACAAACAGGGTTATGTGTTGAATGAATTGATGTGAACAGTGTAATTTTACTCTTTTGTTTTTAGCATTTTCCTTATCGACAGTATCTCGTATTATAGCGATTAATCATTATTAATTATTTTGAGCTAAAGATTTAAATTTTATTTTCAGGATGAATATCAGAGTTTGTACCATTGGAGCTTTAGCTGTTGGCGCAGTATTCGTTATTATTGGCATTATTTCTCTTACTGTCGTTCCGTTGACGATAAACAAGGAAGTTATCAAGGTTTGTGTTTCCTCTTTTAGCATGATCAATTTGCATGTTCGTTAACATTCACTGACATTAATCAGTGGACTAAAAATAACTAACAATTTAGTGGTTAAGTAAGATGCTAACTTTATTTTCATTATTTTAAATATTTATAGTGCATGTTCGCATCATAAATGTTGTCCGACTTGTTGATAAAGTAATCTAGTAAGAATGTTTTGTTTTCCTTGAGTTTTGCTGTATTCTTTTCGTTTATATCGATCATTGTAGTTATATCAGTGATATTATTGTTAATGATCTGCAGTTCTCTCATATTGATATATTTATAAACGAAAAGAATATGTTTTATTTTAGATAGCAGTGGATTAGAGTTAGTTAGATTTAACACTAGGCTTATAGTTTTTTTTAAAGTAAATCAAAATTTAAAGCAAATTCAATTGCAAAAAAGCTTCTCGTACTTAGTCATATCAAAATGCCCATAATTTCAGAATGAACATTTGGGTTTCGATGAGAATCATACTTATAACACAATGACCCAACGTTGGATTGAACAGAAATATTCAATGAAACTGAAAGTGTGGACCGTTTCTGTAGCAAATCCAGGTGATGTCATTCAACACGGGAGTTATCCTGCACTTGTTGAAAAAGGACCATATGTTTTCACGTTAGTTACTTGTATACTTCACTAATTGTTAACTGGATTATTTTGACATTTAACATCACAAACTTTTCTTTGTGCTTTGTGATTGGCTCTACTGTAGCAAGTATCTGATTACTTTCATTAGTTGCCCTGAATGATAAAAAAAATGAAGGTTTGTATACCTGTATTATACACGAAATACCGTGAGGTTTTTAAGAATATGATGTCTTACAGGGAGTATCGGAAGAGAGTGAAAGTGGATTTCATGCAAAATAATACTCGAGTATTATTTCGCAATCAACGTTATTACATCTATAATGAAAATGAATCATGCGCGAATTGTAGTCTAAATGATCTGGTTACGATACCGAATATTATGTTCCAAGTATATGCTGTTTTTAATTTTTTTTCGTTTTCTTTAGTTGATGTACATCCATCCGCCTTTATATTTCCTGAAAGAAGAGCGAAAAGGATCAAAATATCGCATCCGCATATATTCTAAAATGATATCAGTATGATAAGGCTATTAGTGATCGAAATTAGTTGTTTGCATGGATCTCAAGATTTTTGACTGTTAGAAATTCAATTCGACTTTTGTTTTAGTATATAATCAATATTGCTGCTAAAAGTTCTGCGATGGTGAGAGAACTGATCATAGCTATTCTTTATCGTTTCAAAGATGAAACACCATTTATCCGTGTTACCGTGAATCAGGTTTAATTTTCCATTGTCCACCAATATTCATCCAATGTGAATCAGATGCTTTTAGATCAGTCTAAGGAAAATAGTTTCTTTTGGATTACTGACGTTATACTTGAACTAGTCTGCATGAAAAAAAAGAACCAGCTGCAGATGAAGTTAGTTGTTATTTAATGAAAAAATTAGAACTCTGGAGACCAAATTTGATCAGATTGAATTCAATAAAATGTAAAAATAAACGCAAGCAAAAATGCTGTTAAATGTTTTTGCAAATTTGGACAAAATTATTACTTTTTCCATTTTTTTAGATGCTTTTTGAAGGATATAATGATCCATTGATCGAAGAGATTTGTAGTAAAAGCTTAATTTCTTCCTTATGTATTCTTGCAGGGATTCCAGCGCGCATAAAATTCTTGGTAAATTTTTAAAGTTATTTGAGAAACCTTAGAATCTGAAATGTTTTTTAGCTATCACTTTTTTTGTACTTGATGCAGTCTCTTCTAATCATGATTGTAAATATAAATAAAAGCTTTCTGCTGGCATAAATACATATGCTATAGTATGCGAAAATGTGGAATGAGGTACCTCATATTACAACAATTATATTTAAGATAATTGGAACCACTAATATTTGTTGAATTTCATTCTTATTTATGAGAACTCTATTCTTGAGAAAAGTTCAAAAACTTTTGAATATACATCTTTTTAGGAAAATGGTACAGACAGTGGCGAATATTTGATTGATACTGGACTAGAAAATATTAACAGAATTGGTCGGGTATATGCGTGGAATGGACGAAATGAAACACCGTGGTGGGGCACTGCACAAGCAAGGAAAATTAATGGAACAGATGGAGAGATATTTTCACCATTCTTATCATCATCGAATGATTTGCCCATTTTTCTTGGAGAGTTGGGAAGGTAAAATCTTTAAAAAATATAATTTCTGCTTTTAAAAGTAATTTTTATACTAATAACTTTATAACTTGTGTTCATTTCGGAGAGGTTCTAATATTTATACTTCTCCAACGGATGAACAAGAATCAATAAAGTTCCATTTATCTGAAGTGGGACTCATTAAGGGCTATCTGAAACGGTTACATTTTGGTTCTTTGATGCTTGATGCTTTAGAAGTTCAATAAGTGTCTTTTGAGTGGAATGGATATTATATTTAGATACTTTTCAAGAAAATTCATATTTTTCATATTCGTGTTTTCTTATTTTTTTCCTTCCTAGTTCCTTAGTTAGTAAATGGAGTTTTTTTTTAATGGTTAAACTGAAATAATTTTTCATAAAATGAAGTTCATCTAAAATAATTCTTTCGAAATTTTTACCATCAAAAATTTAAGGGGTGTTCATTTTCTTCTTTTATTTAAAGAGTTTTAACGGAATTGTAGAAGTTCTCGTTTTATCCAATGTATGCTTATAACTTTACAGCTTTGATTCGCTCCTCACCCTCTCCTCAGTAAAGCTGTTGAAGTGAGACTTCTCCAGGTTATCTTATTACTAGGTGCTTTTTTCAGATCATTTTGAAATTTTAAAGGGATTTGTGAAATGTGTGATTTGTTTTACACTTTACTTATCATCATATTATATAACTGAATTGATGATTGTCAGTGATTCTTGAGAGAGACACATGCGTACGGTACCGTTATACAATTATGAAACGATCAGTAGACACATATGCTAATGGCTAGACATTTTATTCTCAATCTCAGCTTTCTTCTATGCATTTTGTAGAATTACTAATGAGTACGTGGCATTGGAAAATTTTGAATTGTTATAGGCAAGGAGTAAGTGATAAAAACGAAGCCAGAAGGTGTTTGTAATCAATTGAGCTACAATACATTATTGCTACTTTACATTTATCAAACTCAACAATCAAATTTAACCGGAAAAAACAATTGATGAAAAGATGAAGAGCTAGAATCAAGTAGAATGTCGGGAAGAAGGATTTGTGAGGCTTTCAAAAATCATTAATTTTAGTAGGGCCACATTTTTTCAACTGTAATATTTTTTATGCTCTTATCATTGAATAGGAAAGGGTTAAAAAGAAGAGCTATCTTAACTCATTCACAATTTCAATTTTTTTTTGGCGCCTAAAAACTGTGCTTTTAATATACGATTGTTTTTGTTCTTTTAATCTTTAAAAATAGCTTTGTAGCCGATTTCCGTATGAAAGGGTTTCTGATTAGTAAGAGGAGATATGGCTAGTGAAGCAATTCGATGGGGTCATTAGTAGAAATATATATAACGCTCATTGCTTGTTGTCTATTCGATAAGAGATCGATTTTCAGTACTGGGCAGTGGATATTAAGCTCATTGTCATGTATCTTTGTGCAACTATGTCTATGGCACAACAGCGTTCACTTCTCGAAATGATGTAGTGCTCCCGTGGCCTAATGGATAAGGCGTTGGTCTCCTAAGCCAGTAAATGGGAGTCAACCAACGATGGGGGTTCAAGTCCCCCCGGGAGCCTAACGTTTTACATCTACACTGCCTATATTTATTTCCCTCTAAACATTAACAACGTTTAAAATTATATTACAAAGCAAAACCAATTTGTTCCGTATCGTTCTGTCCCGATTAAGTTAAAAATGCACTCGCTATGAGGTAAGAGAATGAGAGTATACGCAGCGTCACTAAGATCAAGAATTAAGAATTTTGATTTTAAAAATATTCCGAAATCTATTGCAATTTTTTAGAAAGCTTTTTTTCTTCGTTTAAAATCTACTACCCTCTATTCATACTCAGTTTTCATGATGTTAGACAAGTCAATTTGAATTTGGTCGCAAAAATCAATACAGTGTACAGTTAATTTAAAATTCTTATCGTAACACAATTTTTGGCTTAGCTTATTAATCTTTAATAAAAAAATTATTAAATATTAATCTATTAATCTTTTAATTATTAATCTAATTATCACTATTACCAATTCTAGTCGTTCTAATCATTGCTGATCTTTTCAGAGTTTTGAAATAGATCTTTATGACTTTAATTTGAGAAATGAATTATTTTTCAAACAAAATAGAAGTAAAAGAAGGAACACGAAGAAATTATTACTATCAATTCTAGTTATTTGTCACTGATCTTTTCTTTTCGCATACGATAATAGACTTTATATATTCTTTCTGATCTTTATAATTTCAGCTTTTTAATTTCTATTTTTTAATTTCTATTCCAATTACTTTAAAGAACTTGTTTTTTCGATTTTTAGATTGCAGTAGTGTTTTATCGCTCTAACTCCAAGTGTTTGAATGTAATATTTTTAAGCTTTCTATAAATTTGGATTTTAATATTGAGTTCAACCCATTCATTTGGTGATGAAGCAGTGATTGAATTTTTACAGAAATTAATTCCGAGATTTGGAAACAAGTGACTTGCAATAAGCATAATTTCAGATCAATTTACCTACGTTACGACAAATCAGTGATGCATGGTCAAATACCATCATATCGCTTCGTGATTCCATCAGCAGTTTATGATCCGTTTTTGCCAGAAAATAAAGGATTCTGTAACGAAGAAACACCACGTTATTTCAGCAGTGATATACAACCTCGTCAGTTTATTAAGCCTATGAATTCTGAGTTTCATCCTTCCAACAATCTTATTTTGTTAATTCATCGACATAAAAATGATTTCTGATTTTTTTAGAAGGATGTCTACCTGCCGGTATGTTTGATATTGGTCGCACAAAGTTTAAATCCTCTCATGTCTATTTATCTGGTGCTCATTTTTACCAGTCACTTCCACAGGTTTATCAAAATTTCACCGGTTTCAAGCATCCGGATAGCAGCGATGCGTCATATATTGATATTGAACCAGTCAGTTTAATACTTCAAAGATTCGAATAGATGCTTTAATTTTATTATTTTAAAACGTAACTCTTTGAGAATTCTAACGGAAAATTATTTAAATTTTTAATATTACAAGAAATTTTTTCTGTTGATTAATGAATTTTGAAAAGAATGGATGTTCGACGTCAAAATTTAATTTCGCTAATTCCAGTACACGGGCGTTATTGTGAGTGCTTTTGCAGCTTCTCAAATTAATATTGGAATGATCAATAGCAATTTGTAGTTCGTTTTTTTTTTTTATTTTTGTTATATCATTCTTAATATCCACCGATAGCTATGTCAGCGGGTGAATTAAAATAAATCTCTGATGACTGGCATCGTGAGTTTTCCTTGTTGGAGTTGCACTGCACTGGGTTATTTTGGCAATTCTAATTCTCTTATTATTTCTAACACAGCATTAATTATTAAACGGTAGAGTAGAGATGAATATTTCAAACACTTTATTTGATTTTTTATTTTAGCACGGCTAGTAAAATGCCAAATATGATTGTACCAGTACTGTGGATAAGGGAGATAATAAACATTGATGAAAACACAAAGAATGATGTGGAAAAAGTCGTGCTCCTGCCACGATGGGTAACTTATTTCGATCTTGATTTATAGATTTGTCAGAAATGCTAACAATTTAACTTGCGGATAGATTTTATAAGAATGGTTTGACGGCCGGAAATTTGAGAGTTTATCATAAAGTTACACTTAATAGATAGATATATTATTTGCAATAACTGAATTTGCATAATCATGCTTTAGGCACGCTTTCTTGGTATTTTGCTATTGGGTGCAGGCCTTCTTCTCTGGACAATTTTCTTGATAATCTCATTGGGGAGAATATACTTTAAAGTATGTGTTTTTTTAATTCTTGGAACTTTTCTAGAACCTTGTTCATTTTCAGAGTTGTAATATTGTTATTCTAAACATTTTTTTAGAGAATTTTAGAGAATGTTCACGCACAAGATAATAATATTTCAGTGTACTTCAGATGTTTTTATTCACGACGAAATAATGTAGAAATCTATCCCTTGATCCGTTAGAGAAATAGCAAGAAATAGCAAAATGGGGGGTGAGGGGATTGCTGATAAAATAAATGAGAGGAAAGTTGATGAATTATAGAATTTTGGAAAATATAGGGGTATTGAAAACAAAACTTTGAAAGGATTGAAAACGATCAGTTAATCAGTACATTTTCTTGGTTCAGAGGAACGATGATGATGAAGCACATCTGATTGAAAATAGCGGGGAAAATTGAGACGAGTGGAGGCAGTTTTGGAGATGAACAATTTCCGAGTGTGTTCAGTTGTTTTATTGATGGAAATTTAAAGATATGCTTTATGACCATCACTGAGTTTTATGAAGTCCTTACAAAATCATTTGACCGACTGTAAAAATTGAACTGTAAGAAGAATAATTCATAAAAATGTGTTGTTAAATACTGTAAAAAATATAAATATTTGGAAGCCGAAGTGGAATGTTTGCATCCAAAAAATCTTTCGATATTTTCAGCAATTTTATTTAGCAAATCAAATCTTTGTACTTGTTATGTATTCTTAAATATGTTTACATTGGAAGCACGAAAATTCATTTTTGGGTGCTATGACTTACACACCGTAAATGATGCAAAATATTGAATTGTATATTTACAGCTTCGAAATACAGATAGATTTTCACTTATTATTCTTATAAGATCGCGCACATAACTTTGATTATTACCGCAGCTGTGAGTAAGGTCCAGTATGTATAAACATAATTAAAGTTTTGATTTACAAACAAGTGATGAATTTTAACCAAAATCTTCAGTAATATACGAGGTATACGTTTCAAGATTCTCTTTCAAAAATAGAAATATTAGATTGTTAGTTTTACAATGTTGGTTTTTGCTAGAACTGTTTTTCTTATTCTTGGGAATTTGGTCGTAGTTCTGTAGATTGCGTTCGATTATTTAAATTGTGATGTTTTTTCCGTTCTCTTTGTCTCTATCATCGTTACAATTCCAATATAAATACTTTATCATCTGAAAATGTCAACATCTGCATTAAAGATTTGTGAATTTTCTATTTTACAAAAGGCATACCGAAGACTGTACGGTGTTTGCAAATTGTGAACTCTTGCAACCACTGGAAGACGGGAGCCAACTCCCAATCTCCCAAAGTTAAGATTTATTCCGTGGAGGGGAGAAACTGATAACCTCTTTCCGAGCATTGTAAGCTACTATCCAAGTGATGCAATCCTACTATCACTGCTCAAAGAAAAGTAATTCAATCGTGACAAGCTGGTTTTTCCATCGATTGTGTTAATCACAATGTTGTGAAAATTATCAGTACTAGAGAACGATACCATTATCTTTATTTCAGAAATTCTCTCAAATACTCCATTCGAGGTAGGTAGAACTTGATAAACTGCCTACACCCATATGAAGCGATTTCAACCGGGGGATTTCTCGTAAATGTCGTTTGGGAGACAAAATCATTATTTAAGATCTAATGTGGTCTTCAGTTTCCGTTATACTGTCCCTGGTTGACCTCATTTTTCTAATGAGTTTCGGCGTTTTGCATTCATTTGTTACTATGAACATTTCTATCAGCGTTATTTAGTTCGGAATTTTAAGCTATTAGCATGAACAACAGTTTGAAATTTGGCATGTGATGCACTTTGATGAATTTGACTGAAGTAATATTTATGGTTGGTAATTTCTTTCCTGAATGATTTTTTTCCTACAGTTCAAAAAGTGCTTTATGAAATGCATGGAATCGAAGTGCTCGAAGTTCTATCATTCTTCAATAGATGGTTAATACCTGGTGATAAACGCTCTTTGAGTTTGGCGAGTTTTATCAAAATTCATTGAAAATTTGAATATTTTAACAAAATAAGAATCCGTAACAGTAACCCGTAACAGAAATTATTAGGCTCCGTATAAGACATCTTACCACGGTTTTCAACATAAATTCAAGTTAATACGTTTCTATATACCATATCAGTGATATAACGGATAAAAACAAACTTGTAGCACATGTTAAAAAATCAAAACTTCTAGCACTGGATTTAAATCTTGTGGGGCGAAACATGTACAGCTTTGGACCCAACTCAAAAATTCTAACCCTATTTCCTGTTCTCATGCAGATTAATCAGTATACTTGGATAAACTAATTTTTGGCACAATGTTCATGGATTGCAATTCCTGGAACAATAATTTGCAAGCGTATGGGATTTTAATAGTTGTCATAGTTCGCGAGGAACGGCACATCTGACACCAGCTTTTGTAACCAATTAAACCACACTGCGAACAAACATCAACCTAAAAATAGATTTCAGACACTTATTTAATGTCAGACGTCAGAAGTTAAAGGCCGAAATTAAATTTCCAATCACATCCTTAAAACAAGATCTCTTCTACACTATTTTGTAACAATAATTGGGAATAACTTTCAAAGGAAAGCTGAAAATGGAAATGAAGACTCTGAACACCATGAACATGATTGTAGATCTGGCATGAGTTGATGCGGACTTGTGAATTAACTAAATTCTAAGAAGATTTTAGGTTGGGAGCACTTCACAATACAGATTCAGGATTTGAAAAAAGACAAATATACAGTATTAATTTTAACGATTAACTATTGAAAAAGATGTGTTCGGTAATTAAAATCTATGGATGTCACTCCCTTCAACGTTTTATTTGGAAAAGTTTTAGATGCATAAAGATGCTTTACTTTGAACTCATCTGATGAGACCATCAGCCTTTCCATAAGCAACATACTTGCGCCATAAGCAATCAAGCAATCCCTTTCCATTTCACCCAGTCTTAAACCACCATCACGTGCCCTGCCTTCAGTTGGCTGACGCGTTAATACTGCTCTGCAATATATATCAAAATTTTTTGATTGCTAATGTAACAATTTTCTTTAAAAAATTTCTTAATATTCTGTCGAACATTTTCTCCAAATTAAACGAAACAAGTCCTGATTCTGTTTTAAAAATAAAAGTTACCGTGGTCCTCTAGCTCTTGCATGCATTTTATCCAGAACCATATGTTTTAACTTCTGATAATAAATAGGACCGAAGTAAATATATGCGCAAAGTTGCTGGCCAGTTATGCCGGATGTTAACATATCTTTTCCAAGATAATTGAACCCTCTTGCCGCTAGTTCTTCGCAAACAATATCAACCTTATAATTTTTATAACGTTAAGTAAACAATACAATCAAAAGTTCAGGGAAAATCAATCATCTACCTCTGCAAAAGTACATTAAATTTGCCACAAGAGTAGTCTTTACAGCATCAAAATTTCCAAAAATTCTTCAAAAGCTGAAGAATGAATATATCTATACAATTACTGTCTACTGCTTCCTTTCCAATCCTGTAATATTATGTCCTACCTGATCGCCACCAAAAGCAGTCCCGTAATGGAATTTGCCAGAAAGGATCGCATTTTTCCCGCTCAACAATTCCATCAATTTCCCAACAGTCATACGACTTGGATAACCATGTGGGTTCATAATCATGTCTGGGCACATACCCAGGTCATTGAAAGGCATATCTTCCTGAAGATTAAGGCTTTAATGAATTGAAAAAAATTACTAGTTAACAATATAATTCAAAAATTGTCATTCTTTTACTTTTGCTTTTGAGTCCGAAAGTAGTTTTGAGCATTCGAAGCAAATTAAAAAAACAATCAACTTGAATGGAACTCTAGAACCTTGAGCATAAATATGAAAAAATTTAAAATCGGTAAGTTGGCAACAAATTCAGAGATCAAATAATTATTTGAAAACGATGAAATTTTGGGTCTCTAAAAAATTTTTTAAAGCTATTAAACTCAAACCTGTTGTGCTATTAAACCACATACACCTTTCTGTCCATGTCTGCTACTAAATTTATCGCCCAATTCAGGCCTTCTGCAAACAGTTTCAATTTCGCATAATTTCAATCTGTTTTCGAACTCAAAAAAATATTGAAAACATAAAATGTATGAAAAATGAGACTGAATAAAATAAACTTCGCTGGTTTTTTTTGAAAAATAGAACTATACCTTGTTTGTCGCAAAAGAACTTTAATCAAATGAGCATCATCCTCATTATATGTCAACAAGACACGTTCTGCATATGATGGTACGGAGTTACGATACACAACTGAAACATCTTTGTATTCCACTTCATTGCCACTAACATTTGATCCGTCATTGTTCGAAACCGCAGCACCAGCTTCCATACTAACAACTGGCATGTGCTTATTGATCATTACCTTTAAAACTTAGCTGATTTTGAGAAGCAAAAATCTTCATTTGTAACAATCATTTGTGGGAAGTTGCAAGAATTGATAATTTTACATCCAAATTCATCAAAATTTAGAAAAACTAAAACCTGTTTGGAATGTATACGTGCACCCACGTATACGATACCCTCCTGATCCAATACTTGATGTTTATAGATAGGTTTTCGCGTTGTTGCTTCAATAGTTGGTCCCATAAGACGATCGAATGTTTGGTTAGGATATTTCCTGGCAGTTGCTTTGGCATGTTTGTAAACAAGACAACGACCATAACCTGAAATAATTCAAAATCTTAAAAAAGCAAGACCAAAACAAATTTCCGAGAACTTCTAAACCAATAAATGCAAAATTTGATCAGTAACGACATCAAAATTATTAGAAACAAAGAAAACTAATAGAAATAAATTTAGATTATAACGAAAAATAGATGAATAATAAAATTTTCATCAATTCCACCTTTTTTAAGAGGAAATGTCTGCTAACTGACCTCTGTCAAGAGAAGCCTTATTTAGCACAAGTGCATCTTCAATATCGTAGCCACTGTAGGACATTACTGCAATAATGGCATTCTGTCCAGCTGGCAATTTCTCGAAGTTACAAAATTCTATAGTCTGAAAGACTAATTATTAACTGGAAACTGTGTGATATGCCACTGTAGTAAAAACTTATAAAAGAAATAAGCGAAGAAAGTAAACCTTAGTTTTAACAAGAGGTCTTTGTGGATAAACTAGCAAATACATGAGTGAGTCGATACGCTTCTGCTGATTGTATCCAATTGTACCCATAGCCTGTTTGCCCATTGCACACTGATAAGTATTTCTTGGACTTTGATTGTGGTGAGGGTAAGGAATTAAGCCAGCACATACACCAAGCAGGGTGAAAGGTTCTATCTAAAATTACTATTTCAAAATATCATATAAAATATGTACTGACTTGAATTTTGGTCACAGTCAATTGTGGTATCAATAAATTTCTTGTCCTCAATTC